TAATATGAATCCAGTCTTCATACTTTCCTACTTAAATCCATTACAGGGTTTCATTTTATTAGGTTGAACCAAGTGGAATTGTTGGTCAAAAATGAAAATAAATGATTTTATCAACCTTATATGAAAAAATAAAACAGAACCTCCTTACCTATAAGGACCTGTATGATCAAGACCTAAATTCTTCTCACCCCTTTTCCCATGTTGATGGTTTTGTTGTACATTAGTTTCCTATTTTTTCAATAGCAACCCATTATAAGAAATATTTTTGGGGTCTGGCAGGTGGTGTGGTGGTTAAAGGTGCTAGGTCCCCACATGGAGGACCATGGTTCGAGTCCTGGACCTAGTGGTTTGCTTTCTCAATTTCTCTCTCTCTCTCTCTCTCTCTCTCTCTCTCTGTCCAAATTAAAAGTAATAATAACAAATGGAATTAAATAAATAATTTTTTTTCCGGAGAGGTTTTTGCTATAGGGCACATGCACTCGCCAGACAGACAGAGACAGACAGAGAGACAGAACGTGAGAAATCACCCCTCAGGGGTGATGGCCATGCTGCAATCCCCTCTCCTCCACTCTCCTCTTGGGATCTTGGGCACACACGCACACGCGCCCGGCATGAGTTTAAGCCACCGGGTCTGGGACTCGAACCGCGGTTGACTACATGGGAGTCCAGCGACATAGCCATTACGCTAACTGCTGGTCCCAATAAATAATTTTTTTAAAACAACATAAAAAAAGAAAGATGGGGCTGGCAAGTGGTGTGGTGGTTCAGGCGCTAGACTCCCACATGGCTGACCATGGTTCAAGTCCCAGACCTGGCGTCTTGCTTTCTCACTTTCTTTCTCTCTCTCTCTCTCTCTCTCTCTCTCTCGCTTTGTCCCTCTCCAGTCAAGTTAAAATAAAGTTAAATAAAATAATTTTTTTTAAAGAAAGAAATACATTTTACATCTAGGGTATACATTTATATAAGCAAATCTGATTCGCTTTCGGTCTTGATTTGAACATTAATACCCAAGAGAAACTTTCTTTTTTGTTGTTTGTTTATTTTGATTTATTGAGAGAGAGAGAGAGAGAGAGAGACAGGTAGGTGCTCCTGACAGGACCTTCCGACTACCATCCACCTCCAGTCTCAGCTGGCATGCACGGGGAGGTCCCAGGACACAAACACAGGACCTTTCCCATATGGGTTCAGTTGTAGTACCGCTGTGCCACCACCTGGTCCCCCAGGAGAAACCTGTGCACATGGATTTCACTCCATCTTTAATTCTCTTTCATTATCTGTCATTGCACCCTGATTTTGCGTAGCGCTCAGCATAATCTAGTAATTAGTAATAAATTCTACACTTATTGACTTGTGAGATGCAGTTCCTGATATCCAAAAGCTGGTCTGATATAATCTCTCAGGCTTTGATGTTGCTACTAGCTGGTCCAGCACTCAGCTAGGTTTTGATATTTTCTGGTGGAACATAAACAATGTGGCAGAAAATCAACATTAGGCAAGGCCACTCTGTGACCACGATGAATTAAGACCGCACTATGACCACTCTAATCAAGTCTGAACACAGAGAAAACATTAACATTGTCCGAGATAGAAAATACCAAAATACCTCCTCCGAGCCAATGGGAGTGACTGCCACTTCTTTCCCAGTTACAGCTTTAGCTTACTCTAATCTGCCCTCCCAACAGATAAAATAGGTTGGGATCCTCAATCATGGATTTACTCCCATTTCCTGAAAGCACCTAATCCAGGCTGAATCTCTGCTCCTTGGACCCTACCCAGAATTGCTGAACTTAAATCTTTTAAACCCTTTCTTTCTTTCTTCTTTTTTTTTAAAAAAAGAGGTTTTTGCCTTAGGGTATGTGTGCTTGCCAGAGAGAAAGAGAGATAGTGAGAAATCGCCCTTCAGGGGGAATGGTCACACCACAATCCCTTCTCCTCTATTCTCCTCCTGAGATCTTGGGCACACATGCCCACGCGTCCGGTGTGAGTTTAAAGCCACTGAGTCCAGGACTTGAACTGCAACTGGCCATGTGGGAATCCAGCGATGTAACTGCTATACCATCTGTTGACCCCTTAAATCCTTTTTAACACCCTCTCATACTAAGATACCCCCCAGTTTCCCATTATGTGTGCTCTCCTCAGCAGCAATGTTTTAAAAAGCCTATCTTGTTCAACTAAAAATGTGTTTCTGGTATATTATGCCCCAGTATATTTCCTAGGCCTTACGTGATGTGTGGCATTTAGGAAGTTCTTAATAAATATCTTCAATGGGCCAGCCTAATGGTTAATGAAGACAGATCCCATATGGCAGACTGGTTCAAATGGTGGCTTGAAAAACTGGCTGGGTGTGTGAGTGCATGCATGCTGAAAATTCCAACAGGACAGACAAATGGAGGAGAAGGGATTGTGACACTGACCATGCCCAACTGGGAGGGTACTCTCTCCCTCACCCCCTCTATCTCTCTGGCAAGTGCATATGCCCACTGACTAAATAAATAAATAACTTGGATAAATCAACACAAATGAGAAAGAATGATAAATTATGTCATTAATATTCACTCTCCTGAGCTGAAGCAGAGGCTTCATCCGTGCTGATGGCTAGCTGACCTTTCTGGGAGATTCTATTCTGCCTAGCTGTGTGATTTCATGGCTATCAGCTTTCATTAAGAACCTCTTTAAACATTTTGTTTTCTTTTCTCTGTCTCTTCTGCTAGATAGATAAGTGTTTAAGTTCAGTTAAGTGTATTCAAATCACTTCTTCCTTGATCTTGGCTTACTGAATTCTGAATTTCTGGTAGTTAAATGTTCTCTGGATTGTAACTGGCAAAGCTAAAGTCTCTTGCTCCTGAATCTGCAGAGTAGTCCCGTCAGGCTCTTTCCAAATAAGTACTTCTTTGGCTGCCAGCTTCTGACTCCCTCACTCACCCCATCTGGCTTCTCATAGAATAGCTAATCTCTATTTGAGATTCATCGGTAAGCCTTCACAATTACTAATTTTTTTTTTATTGTAACAGTAACACATGCTCATTATAGAACACCCAGAAAAACATAAAATGTTGCAAAGAATAAAAATAAAGGGCCAGTCTGTGGTATGGTAGGTTAAGGCAGTTGGATCCCACATGGCTGAGAGGTTCGAGTCCTGAAACACATGCCATGTGCATGTGTATGCATGTCCAAAATCCTGAAAAGAGGGCAAAATGGAAGAGAAGGGATTGTGGAAGGACCATCCCCCACTCCCCAAAGTGAGTGCTTTCTCACTTTCCCTCTTTCTCTTTCTCTCTAGCAAGCACCTTCTGGCAAAAAAAAAAAAAAAAAAGAAGAATTTTAAATAGCAATTAAGAAATGGAAATTAGCCACAATCCTATAATCAGAGATCTTGAATTAACTCCAGTAGGACACATTGACATTAATATAAATTATTAATACTAGATATTCAATTCATCTCTCATGTTCTAGTGATACATGTAACCATACATCATAGGCATTGTCTTCACCATTAAATATTCTGTAGGTCACTATTTTCAACTTTGTCAGTTTCATTCAGAGAATACTTGTGTGCTGAGAAAGCCAGCATATCACTCCAGTGCAAGGGTATACAGTCCTAGGTAACATAACTTACACTCCAGCATTCAACAGCTCTACTTCTTTTCATCATTCTTTGTCACAAACTCTTTCTTTTTACTTACTTTTTTATTTTCAACAGGGTCTCGCTATGTCATGATCTTCCTGCCTCAGCCTTCTATAGGCTTGTGCCACAGCACCCAGCTCTCTTTATTTATTTATTTATTTATTTAAAAAAAATTTTTTTTGAGAGGTTTTTGCTATCGGGCATGTGTGCTCGCCAGACAGACAGAGAGAGACAGAGAGACAGAAAGCGAGAAATCACCCCCCAGGGGGGATGGTCACGCCGCAATCCCTTCTCCTCCATTCTCCTCTCGGGATCTTGGGCACGCACGCACACGCGCCTGGCGTGAGTTTTAAGCCACCGGGTCCGGGACAGGAACCGCGGTCGACTACGTGGGAGTCCAGCGACATAGCCATTACACTGACTGCTGGTTCCCAGCACCCAGCTCTTAAGTGGGCTGGAAATTGAACCTGAATCTCCACTCTTGCCTTTGCCTTCCGAATAACATCGACCAGCATGCTACTGTGGCTTTGCCTCATTGTTACAAACACTTTGATGTTGGGACCAGCAGTTGGTGTAATGGCTATGTTGCTGGACTCCCATATAGTTGACCACGGTTCAAGTCCTGAACTTGGTGGCTTAAACTCACTCTGGGCATGTGTGTGTGCATGTCCAAGATCCTGAGATGAGAATGGAGGAGAAGGGATGGCAGCATGGCCATCCCCCTGGGGGGTGATTTCTCAATTTCTGTCTGTTTATCTCTGTTTCTGGTGAGGGCGCGCGCCCTATAGCAAAAACCTCTCAAAAAATAAAATTAAAAAGAAAAAAACACTTTTGATGAACATCTTTATGTATAACTTTTGTCTGCATTCTTTTTTTAAAATTTTACATTTAATCATTGTACATCTTTCCTGCATGTAACGTGGTTTTTTTCAAAGTGTACATTCATTGCATGTTGACCAACTCAGAGATATGATCGTATACATCATCTTCAGCAGATAACTTTCAATTCTTTTAAAAAATATATTTTATTTTATTTATTTATTCTAATTTAACCAGAGAGGGACAGTGTGTGTGTGTATGTGTGTTTAAGAGAGAGGGAGAGAGAAAGAGAGAGAGAAAGCAAGCCACGAGGTCCGGGACTTGAACAGTGGTCGACCATGTGGGAGTCCAGTGTTCTTAACCACACCATCTGCTGGCCCCTATTCTTTTTTTCTTTTTCATTTTAGTTTTATTCAGCACTATTACAGAGCACACTGCATGTTACATAAAACACTATCTAACCTTCTAGCAGGGGTAGATGACCACAACTGAGTTATTTTTTTCATCAGTCAGGAAACTACTTCCTTAATCAATGATTTCCAAACCCTTTGACACATCATGAACAATTAACTCCAGAGATGTGCCTATCTTTTTCCATCAAATGCCACTGATACGTAAAACGGGCAACCCTCTTTTCCTTGCTCCGGTTCATGAACTTGTGCATGGACACAGTGGCCATTCCAGGAACGACCAAGCATGTGTCCATGGCGGCATTCCCAAGGAGAATCTTGAATCACATCCCAGCACCCAAATCCTGCCTCCAGTCTTCTTAAAGATGACCGAGCTCTCAACTTTCAATTCTTGTAACCATGAAATGTTTGTTTGTTTGTTTTTCCCCCGGGGCCTCTCCCTCTCACTTTCTACTACTATCCAACCCTTCCAACTTTGTTGTCATAACTTCCAATATTTCAGTTTCTGTCATAAAGTGCAGACATTCTATGTAAATTGAGAGGGGACATGCAATGTCTGTCTGTCATAGCCTGGCTTGCTTTACTTAGTATTAAATCTTATTTTATGATTATTATTATTAGTAGTAGTAGTAGTAGTTTTTTTGGCCATAGGGTACATGTACTTGCTGGAGAGACAGGGAAAGACAGAGAGATAAAAAGCGAGAAATCACCCCCTGAGAGAATGGCCATGCTACAGTCCCTTCTCCTTCATTCTCCTCTTGGAGTTTTGGGCATGTAGGCACACACGCCCGGAATGAGTATCAAGTTGCCAGGTCCAGGAACTTGAACCTTGGTCAGCCATGTGGGAATCCAACAATATAAACATTGCTGGTCCCTTAAATCTTCTATGTTCATCCACTTTGTATCAAATGTCAGGATCTCACTGTTTTTTATAGTCATGTCAGTTTTTTTTTTCAGTGCAGTCATCTGTTCTTGGGCATTTAGGTTGATTCCATGTCTTAGCAATTATGAATAATGCTGCAATAAATATGGATATGCAAGTGTCTTTCTGATGGAGTGTTCTCCCATCCTTTGGGTAAATACCCAGGAGTGGCATCCTTGGGACATGTGGTCATTCTATTTGTAGGTTTTTGAGGAACGTCCATATTGTTTTCCAAGTGGCTGTACCAATTTACATTCCCTCCAGCAATGTAGTAGGATTCTCCTTTCACTATAGCCATTATAAAGGTCTTCTAGAAGTAACATTAGTATGTGTAAACTTTATTTTTTTAGAAAGAGGTATTTTTGCTATAGGGCACATGCACTCACCAGAGAGACAGAGAGAGACAGAGAGACAGAAAGAGAGACATCATCCTCCAGGAGGGATGGCCATGCCACAATCCTTTCTCCTCCACTCTCCTCTCAGGATCTTGGGCATGCATGCACATGTGCTTGCCCAGTGTGAGTTTTAATCTACTGGGACTTGAACCATAGTCAACTACGTGGGAGTCCAGCAACATAACCATTATGCCATCTGCTGGTCCCTGTATGTGAGAACTTTGTTTTTTTAACACTTTAGATAGATATTGTAAAATTGCTTTAAAGACATTTTCAATTAACATTCTGCTGGAGAATGTACTGATTCGCCAAACTTCAACAACACATAGTACTAAAGTTTTTGTTTTTGCTTTTGTTTTTCATTACCAGAGCACTCATGAGCTTACCAGAGAGGGAGAGAGAGAGAGAAAGCCCCCCTCAATGGGGTTTGGCATACCATGATCCCCTTTCCTCCCTTTCTTCATCTTGTCAGGATTTTGAGCACTCATGCACAAGCACCCAGCATGTTTCTCGAACCACTGGGGCTCACAAACCACAGTTAGCTATGAGGGTTCCAGTTCCTAATGCATGGAGATTCACCACTGCCCTAAGGAACCAATCCAATACAAACATTTTTAATTGAATGTTAATTAGAATTTTGTTTTTTAAATGGTATCTAGCATTTTTTTTTTTTTGAGAGGTTTTTGCTATAGGGTGCATGCGCTTGCCAGAAAGACAGAGAGACAGAAAGCAAGAAGACCCTCTGGGGGGGATGGACATGCCAGAATCCCTTCTCCTCCATTCTCCTCTCAGGATCTTGGGCTTGCATGCATGCACGCACATGTGCCCAGTGTGAGTTTAAGCCCCTGGATCCGGGACTCAAACCGTGGTTGACTACGTGGGAGTCCAGCGACACAGCCATTACTCTAACTGCTGGCCCTCTAGCATTTTCTATTGTAGGTGAAGTTCTTGAATTTGTTCAAATACAAATACTCATACTGTACTATATTTAATTTATTTTTGTAAAATAATTATTTATTTAATTTTACTTATTCATTCATTCATTTTAATTTGATGAGAGAGAGAGAGAGAGAGAGTGAGAAAGCAAGCCACCAGGTCCAGGACTCGAACAGTGGTCGGCCATGTGGGAGTACCCAGCACCTTAACTACCATGCCACCTGCTAGTCCCCTGTACTGTATTTTAAAATATAATTAAAGCAAGCATAAAGGGCTAAAAATAATGTGACCCAATAGCTTTTGCATATAAATTCTTTATTATAGACCCTCGAAAATAACTGTAACAAAATCTAACTAATAGTATGAGATAATGTTTTCTTTCTTTCTTTCTTTCTTTCTTTCTTTCTTTCTTTCTTTCTTTTTTTTTTTTTTTTGAGAGGTTTTTGCTGTAGGGGGCGTGCACTTCTTGGAGAGATAGAGACAGAGACGGTGAGAGCGAAGGGGAGAAATTGTCTCCCAAGGGGATGTCCCTTCTCCTCCATTCTCCTCTCGGGATCTTGGGCATGCACGCACACGCGCCCAGCGTGAGTTTTAAGCCACCGAGTCCAGGACGCGAACTACGGTCAATTATGTGGGAGTCCAGCGACATAGCCATTATGCTAACTGTTGGTCCCCGAGATGTTTTCTTTTCTTTCTTTCTTTTTTTTTTTTTTAATGAGATAATTTTTTCAATCTGGAAAAAACAGTACATGTCATTGCCATATTTATCATTTCATGTTGACTTGAAAATTATCAGTGGGGGAAAAGGATTACCAGGTTATAATTTCAATAAATCAGTATTTAGGAAAAGATTTATATAAATTTTGCTTATTTATTGTGTGCTACTAGGTTAGCCATGACTAAGATTAGGGACGGGAAGAAAGGGAAGAAAGTTATTCCAGACAGATTTATCTCTCTGCCAAAGGTTCAAAAATACCAAGTCATTTCCCTGATGGTGTTTTGCAATTCTTTGGATGCTGCTGTTTTCTCATAACAAGCCCCTTGCCTATAACCAGAACTATTTTACCCCCTCCAAGTTCTTTGAACAAAATTTCTTGCACACTGAACTTTATTTTTAACCCCCTTGAAAGTTTCTTTGACTCAATTACTTAATCTACGTATCCAACAACATATAACAAAGATCATTCATCACGACCAGGTAGGCTTTATACCAGGGATGCAAGGGTGGTTCAATATATGCAAGACCATAAATGTAATACACCACATTAACAGAAAGAAAGATAAAAACCATATGATCATCTCAACTGATGCGGAGAAAGCATTTGATAAAATACAGCATCCTTTTATGATTAAGACCCTCAGTAAGATTGGTATAGAAGGGTCATTTCTGAACACAATAAAAGCAATCTATGAAAAACCTACAGCTAACATTATACTGAATGGGGAAAAGTTGAAAGCTTTTCCCCTGAAAACAGGTACTAGGCAAGGCTGCCCACTTTCTCCACTGCTCTT